GCTTCAAGCTGCAACAACTTACAAATGGCCGTTAAATATATTTTTCGTGTAATATTATGCTTGATAAGTGCTTTACATTCAATTATGTCGAAATCAATCCTATTATTTAAAATTAGATCAAAGGTAAATGGAGGATTTGCAACTAACAATGTCAGGTAGATTCTTGTCAACACATCACGGAAACCGGGGGTGTGTTCAATAGATTCAAGTTTGGTAAACATCTGGATCATACTTATAATAGTGTTCATATATATACTTATGTTTTCTAAGTTACAAGCATAAGTGTCGATCAAGAACCAGATTAGACATAATCCACACACACGTTGTTCGAAATCCCAAGTGATTTCTATAGTGGATTTAATTAGTTGGAAGTACATGTCTAGATATTTCATGCCCGTTGACGAGCTGACACCGTGGAGGAAAACATTTTTGCCGTTAGTGACATAGTTATCAAGAACAGCAAGGAACACGGAAAAATCTTCGTCTTCATCATCTCCATCATCATTATTTTCTAAGAAAACTCGATAGATTGAATCATAATGTTCCCACAATTCAGGAGGCAACGAGTCAAATCCGTAAGTAATGACGGAAAGAATTTGAGCGCAATTCATCAAGTTAGACGAACCTTCTGGCGAAAACCCGTGCTTAATAGTAGGTTTTACGATTTCGTAAAATTGATATAACGAAAAAGAAGCGTTTTTGCTTGTTATGAAAGCGTCAATAATCGTACTAATTGTAGAGCAAATACATTGTGTTGTTCGTGTATGGGCGTTGTAAAGTTCAAATTGGACAGCGTTACTAGAACTATCCTGATTTTCGTACCTTTGTATTTCCGTTTCGAGAGTGTTGATCAGCATTTTGCACAGTTCAAGGCTAAACGGCAGAATGAGAGTGCTGAATTTTTCGACAAGCGTTTCTAAAGCAGTAATGGAAACCTCTGTCAATTGTGTGGTTTGCAAAGCCTTGATTAGAATTTCCAAAATGGTCTGGATGCGTTGGGATACGAAAGCACCGAGACTGGGGTGGTCAGAAAGGATTAGCTTGGGCAAGACACGCCTGGCTTCTAGTTTGACACCGTAGTCGTTGTCATTGCAACAAATCAACAGCAAGTCGTAAGCTTCCAAGAACATAGGCATGTCAACAATGTGGTTGTATCCAGAATTTCCTAGTCTGTTGAATCCAAACAAAGAACCAAACAATTTACATGATTGAGCTTTGACGAAAATGTTCAGGTTAGACTGATGCATTTCGGGAATCAAGTATTCTTTGAGGAACGCTTCTAAGTTGAAATCTTGGGTTGGTTTTGTCAGAGTATCTAAAAGCTTGAATGACAAAGCGTCTAGTAAGTAAAATGCTGCGTATCTGCAAAGAGAAGATTGGGAAAAAAGGTCTTTTGAAGTCATTGCTCGTGCAGTATTGAGAATTTGCAGCACCCGGCTGATTATTGGGTTGAAAAAGTCTCTAGACCTGTATTTGATGAGGCTTATAATAAAATTGGTAGCGCTTTGTCGTGCAGAATCAGTAATGTCATAATAGTCGATGACTCTCTCGTAAAACTGTTCCGGGTCTTGCATGTATTTTTCAATCGTGTATTTTGTGTATGCAAGCAAAGGAAAGATTATTGAAAAGACGAAGTTTATTACGTTCGGTTTTAATATTTTGTAAATAACCGCTGGTTCGTGGCAGGTTGAGAGAAAGTTCAGACTGAGTATTAGGGTTTTGCGATATAAAAGCCAGTGGTTGAACTGGTATTTCGGAATATCGAAAAAGTTTTGTGTTTGCATTGCTTGGTGGAACAAATTTAGTATTTCAGTACAAAAGGTGGGCCCGTAAAGCTGGACGAAATCTTTAGTGTACACGCTGATGTAGTTGTTGGGTTCACTGGGTGAGTCCGAAAAACGGTATAGTGCCAGGTCGAGGGTTTTAGCCACCCATTTCTTCGTTTTGACGAAATGGTAACAGTACAGGTCATTCATGTTGTAGTTGGGGCCGGCTGTGTAAGGAGCTTTCCAAAGTAGCAACAAGTGATGCATCCAAAAATTTTGGGATCGTACTAAATAAGAGGATTTCTTTAGACTGAATAAAAGCAAGTTGTAGTAAATTTTTGCAGCATGGTAAGCAAAGAAGACGTTCGGCAAAGAGTTTTCGATCGTGCCAACGAAGGTCCCCAAGAACTTTTCGATGATTGGCATCAGGACTTCGATCAGTTCTGAAAAACGGCATTTTTCAATGTTTTTCAGCATTTTGTGAATTTTGTTCGTTAAGATGGAAAACACGGTCGTTGCCACCAGTATGTTGTCGGACTCATTGCTGTTGTACAATTCAATAAAAAGATTTGCATGGTCCATGCAATTGTTCGATAAAGTACGACTGATGATCATTTCGGACAGAATCTTGACGTTTTTGGCCAAGTTGAAGCTTTGAAGCAAAGTTCCTTTGACAATGAAAAATAAATTTTGGCTCAGGAAAACGCGGTCTTGTTCGCTTATCTCGTCGAGCGGATTATCGTCGCTAGACTTTTTATTGTTATGCCACTTTGTGGCAATCATGTTTTTTAACTGAATACAAGCCGTGAGTCGCAAAGCCTCAGAGTATGTTTTCGTGACGATCACAAAAAATAGTTGCTTCACCAAATCCGGGTTCGAACTTAAGTCTTGCAGAATGTACTCTGCTTGCTTTCGCAGTGCCACGTTGCTCGATTGAACATTTCCCAGTTCTGTGACGAATATTACATGTTTGTTCTGACTTACGGAATACTAACTCTTCTAACTGCATAATTTGCTATTTATTCAATTGAGCATCTAAGTCAATTTTTAACAAAAAATATAAGTATTTAATTTATTTATTTTAATTTCAAAAAGCGTAAAATTTTATAAAGTTAAAAAAAACATTTTTACTCTAATGAGCACTTCTATAGTGTAAATTGCACATTTTTGATTTTGTTTAAGCGAATTTAGTATGTTACAAGGAAGAGTGGGGTTGGCCCCAACGATTTGGCGCATAATGAAACATATTGTTTCTTTACAGCTCCAGTACGAAATGTGAGAATTCAGTGTGATGATTAGATCTGGGAATATAATTTTTTCAAACGGTTTGTGCAAAGAGAAATCGAATCTCGAGGGGATAGTCAACCCTCTTCGAGTTTCGAGATCGCCTTCTTGGTGCCCGTAGTTTTTGAACACTTCGTATTTGAATAGTTCATAAGTCATTTCGTGATCGCTTATCTCGCCGATTTTGAGCCAGGCGTCAAACGTGAGGTTACGGTATGAATGCTTAAACTTAAGCTTATTTTTGCAGAAAGAATAAATATAATAATAAATTATAAAATCGGTTGCTCTCATTGTGAAATTTTGCAGAGACTTGTACTTGGACTTTTTTCTCTTCAAAGGAGTCGCAACTTTGTGAAAATAATTGATAATTAGTTTTCTGATGCAGCGAGTCCTGAAAATGAGCTCTTCGTTTAACTTTAAAGAAATGTTTTCATGGTAAAACAATGTGGGCAAGTCGTAAGTAAAATTGCGTGAAGCCCTGGGTTTGAGCGTAGAAAGCGTGTGCAGAGCAGATTTAATGTGAGGTTTGCCGCCGTTGCCCAGAACGCCGTACCTGTTGGCGAAGTTGATTCTGAACGGCAACTCTAGAGATCTATTATACTTATTGAACTTAACAAAGTTGCGAAATTTTTTGTGATTGTATATTTTATTTGCCAAATCATCCGTGATTTCTTTAAACACAGGGAAGTATTTGAATAATTTTCGTTTGTTGGTGATAAAGTACCAAAAATTGTTAGAGTGCGATTTGATGACGATCGGAGCCGGAATAAAGTTTAAAGTAGCGTAATAAAGGGCTTCGAAACGCGCTGCAAACGGATCAGAAAAATGGAAGATGTTGTAAAACCGAGTGAAGTTCTGTCCAGTAACGCAGAACGGGTTTTTATTGAACATTTTCTTGTTCTGCATGGCGTAGTGGTTAGCTATGGGAGAACCTAGGGCGAAAAAAAAATCAAGCTTGAAATTCAGTAATTGGTCAGAAAAATTTTTCAGGTTTTCAAAGTTTTTTCCATCTTCTTGCGTTTTGTTGTTCATCAAATAATTTTTTAACAGCAGTGATTCGTTGCGAAGCAACGAATCAGCGGTTAAAATGTCGAAGATCAGCTGCGAGCCTAAACTGTGCGCTACGATAACTATTTTACTATGTTTATAAGCGCCAGAGGGGTCTTGACGAAAATTTTTAACTTTATTATTTAAAGTAGTTGCTAATGATTCAATCATGCTTTTACGCCATACCAAGTTGAAGTAGCACGTGTAGTCTGCTACTAGATTTCGGATGTAGATGCGCATCCCCCACGTGCGACACTGTTCGTTAAACATCGTTAAGTTATTCATATTTGTGTTAAAAGGTAAAGAATCTTCAGCATCAGTCGTGATGTGCGGGTTCTCAAAAAACGACACGTGGGAAGCGTTTCTTTCAATTGAAGAAACCGAATTAATTGAAGTGAAATCATCAATATGTGATTCAGTTGGGTTTATTATGCTGCCAGTTAGGTTTTCTTCCTTAAACTGATGATTCTTAAAGTTGCGTTTCACCAGATTTCCACAAACAAAAACTTGATTCATCACGTTAGTTTGTTTGTAAAAAATTGCATCTTTCCAATTTATCATTTCGACGCGATAAGTAAGGTTTGATAACGAGAACCATTTATCTTCTAGCTTCCTGAACGTATCAAAAAATTTCCCCTTAGTGTTATGTAGAGCAGCACTGCTGGGTGACACACCATGAACAAGAAAAATTATAAAATCAATTTCATTTCGCAGTTTTTTTTTTTCAAATTCATACATTATCGAGCGCTTTTAAATGAATGAGTTTTCAACTACAAATAATTGAATGGAAAAAATTCCCAACTACAAATAATTGAATTGAAAAAATTCTCAACTACAAATAATTGAATTGAAAAAATTCTCAACTTTATTTAAATTTATTCTGTATTGCAAATTTTTTTCCATATTTTTTATAGAAATAATTCCATTTTTTATTTCATTTTCGCCCATAATAACCATATATGGAATCTTAGCGTTTAAAACAGTCTTTAACTCGTTATTTAAACTCTGGTTAATTTTGAGTGAATATTCAGTGACAATTCCAATTTTTCGTAATTTATTTGCAAGGATTATAACGTCTTTTAAATCTACATTTTTCAATTTCGCTATGTAAACATGTAAAATTTTGTTGTTCGGTAGCCATTTGTCAAAAAGTTCCGGGTCAGAAGCCAGTTTTTCTAATATGAACGTCATTAACCTTTCTAATCCAAAACTCACACCCACAGCTGGAATGCAGTTATTTGAGAAACAGCGCAACAAATTGTCGTATCGCCCGCCCGCAGCTATAGTCTTTACTCCAAGAGCATCATCATTTATAGTCACCTCGTAAATAATGCCTGTGTAGTAATCAAGACCTCGTGCTAAACTTAAATTAAGCTTGATATTTGCGTTGTCTAAAATAAAAAATATTTTTTCCAATTCATGAATTGCTTTGCTAAAGTTTTCATCAGAATAAAGCTTTTGTTTTTCCTTCAAAAACTGAATGATTTCCTGATTAGATCCATCAAACAAAATCAAGTCTTTTATTCTGTCTACCACGGCAGCATCTATCTGTTTGACCATTATTAATTCGTTTTTTACCTCTTCCCATGGTTGCTTGTCCAATTTATCAATAGAGGAACAAACCACTGGAATATTTTTTTTGTCTACTCCGGAAGAGGAAAGTATCGCGTTCAAAATGGAGCGGTGATTTACATTTATTGTGTACTGGCTAAAAAATAAATCGAATCGCTTTAGAACTTCATTAATCACTAATAGTACTTCGACATCAGAACTCAATTCATTATACTGACCCAAAATATCAAAATCGCATTGGTAAAATTCACGATATCGACCTTTATTCATTTGAGGTTCATCACGGCGATATACTTTTCCAATTTGGAAACGTTTAATTTTTTCAACGTCATGAGTGGAACAATATCGTGCAAAAGGAACCGTCAAGTCGTATCTTAAAGCCAATAATTCTCCACCTTGATTCGCTAAGTCATAAATAAGTTTACTATCTTCTCCATACTTTCCAACCAAAATTTCTTTGAGTTCAAAGACTGGAGTGTCAATGGCCTCAGCGCCAAACGATCGAAATACCTTAGTAATTTCATTTATAACTATATTACGTATCTTCATCTCGGATTGGTGGAAGTCGCGTGTTCCTTTAGGCGTTTTAGGTTTTTTCAAATTGTTTTTTCTCGACAAAAGTAAATCGGTGAGTTGTTGCAGATTTTTTGTAAAAGTAAAAGTCCTATAATCTGCTGGAATATTCTTTTCTATTTCATCATTGATAGTTTCAAGCAATTTCAAACATCCTTTTCCTAAACAAGGCTTAAAACTTTGTTTCACATATGTGTGGCTAAGATTTTTACAACTAAGATTGTTTTTTTTTATTTCAGTCCGCAGCTTGATATTGAATTCCGTTAATTTAAATACGAAATATATCAGACTAGAACCTATTTCTATTGTGAATATGCATGAATCGCTCAGTTTTATAAACAAATCTTCGGAATTACTAGCCACTAATTTTTTGAAATCCACGTAACTATCTATCTGTTCAAGCTCCGTCAAATTTTCCATCCGATATTTGGATAACACAAACAACGCCAAAATAATGCCGCATAAACGTTGACAAACTTGTGCAAAAAAAACGTTGTTGAACGAGTTACTATGTTCCTGACGCCCATCTACAAAAAGAATATTGCTACATACGTCTTTGTCTCTGAAATAAGCAAATGATTCTAAAACTTCAACGATTTCTTGTACGAACTCTGCATGAAAATTTTTTAAATTGACAAGTTGCTTCCCACTCACTTTGCTGTCTTCATTGAGATAATCCAAATCGAATCCCAGCTGTTTTCTAAATGGACTAGCTTTTACATTTTTAAGTTCAGACGTTTTTATCTTCTTAATGTCCAAAAATTCACTGAATAAACTAAACTCAGTTATAAATTTATAATGAACCCATTTGAGCAAGGTTTCGGCATCATACATATTAGTTTGACTATTCTGATTTTATGTGCAAATTATCTTTGCCGAGTATATTCGTTTTTTAAAAAATTCAATTAATTAATTTGTATAGATTATTTTACTAATAACAACTGTTCAAAAATTTTTAAATGCTATTAGTTCGTTAAATGCATTTACAATAAGAAAAGTTTAATTTGATTCTTTAATGAGTTTTTCGTCAGTGGACAGATGTTCTTTAAGTTCTATTTTAGCTGAATGGGAATCTAAAATCCCTATTTATAAACAAAAACAAATCGCTTTGCACAACCGGTATGTTCAGCAAAATGAAAGTTTTGTTTATGAAGAACTAGCTAAGCTCCAAAAAAAAATATTATTTATTATATTGGCAATAGTTTTTATTTCAGAATCTCTTGGAACACTTTCAGCTAGTTTTGAGAATAGTTTGCTTTCATATCTTGAACAATGTTTGAAAAATTTTCCCAACTATGGCATCGTAGAGTTGATTAAACAGCTTGAACTCTCTGATCTAAATGCCAATTTGGATTATTCTGATTTTTCTTATTCTACGCCTGCTATTTATCATCGAGTTATTGAAGAAACAATGGAAATAATACGAACTAGAAAAAATGAAATAGTATTTATCTTGCTATCTGGTCTTAAAAATATATACCTAAAGGAATCTTCAATTATTGATTTTGTTGTTTTACTTGAAGTTCTTGCTAATAGAGTAGAGCATATAAACATTCTTTACAAACAGGAATGCTTATCAATTTACGAATTTACCAAACCAACAAAAGAAAATTTTATTATTGGATCGCTTCTGAATAGATATAATTCAAAATTTGTTCTGATTGATAGTGATGGAAACTACAAGGTTAAAGATTACTTTATTAAATCCAGTCTGAAGGCCGGAAAACGCCACGAAATTCAAGAATCTGCAGAAAAAATGTTAGATTTTTTAAACAATAAACTACCGTTGACCTTCTCTTCTAATATTATGTTATTTATAGTTGGACTGAGCGAAAATGAAAAAAACTTTCTTTCTAATATTTCTGTTTTCGTTATGCCTTTTGAAATTATAAAGTATGGTTTGCAATCTAGCGATACGATAATTGAAAAAACCGCTGTTGATTTTATTTGCAGTCGACCAGTCCGAAAAGTTCCAAGAACATTAGAACTTGTAAGAATAGAGCTAAACTACGTTTTAAAATCGATCACGTCCAGATTTGAATCCTATTTCGCTTCCAACATACGAGAACTAATCAAGAGTATTTTCTCACAATTCAAAGAAATAATGGATGTCAACTTTCTTTACTTTTTAAAAAATGAAAATGTCCAAGAATTACCGTATGGTATCTCGAACGAACTAACTGAGCTGACAGCTAAAGAAAATGTTTTATCTCAAAGTGACATTCAGTACTACAAGACCATTGCTATTCCTTGCTTCAAAGAGTTTTTTTTGATCCTTATCGAGCAATCAAAAAGTTCGTATATCTACGATACACAAATGAATTTTTTGGAATTGATGGATTGTCTTTTTGAAATCACACCTTTGTCTTTATCGCATTTTGCTATTTACTGTAACGATTTAAATGTGCATCATATTGTATTGGATTATTTGTTTTCATTTTGGAAAAATACTAGAAACCAAGCCATTAAGCTACTAAACCGGCTTCACGGAAAACCAGACATACTAACATTATTAAACTTTAAAGATGACAGGTGGAATATTTTCGCTATGCAAAAGTCAACCGCTGCAAGTCCAACAGCACTTTGGAACGAATCATTCATAACTTTACTCCACTCTTTAAATAGTTGTAAAGTTTATGAAGCTGACTCTATAGTATTTTTATTGGTTGAACTGATAAAGTCTAGAAAGAATTATAATTTAGCTGATACCGTGTTACTGCCTAACGATGAAGCGATTATAAATTTCAAAATCGGTACCGATGACCTCACATTATATCTTCTGAAGTTAGATTTTTCATTAACTCGTTTCAAACTGATTTTAGCGTTAATCAAATTTTCAAAAGATTACACACTTGTATTTGAAAAAATTTTTGATTACATTCTACTTTTTGTAACTCCATATATGGAGTTAATTCTAAATGCTAAATTCAGTTACTCCAAGTATGACGCCAATCAAGCTTCCTATGTCAATTCAAAATTAAAAAACTATATCGTAGATTGCAGAGGAAAACTGACTGCTGTAATCAAGGAAAACTTTGATCCACAAGAAAATGATATAGAAATTGCGGAAATAAATAATTGTTCACAAATAACAAGCGTGGTTACCTTATTAATTATACAATTCTCAGAATTTATTGAATGTTTAAAAGTGTCTGGTTTTCTAATTTTTGAATTATTGGAGTATATTAGTGTAAATGAAAAATATAAATCTATAGACACAAAGCTGTTACAAGATTTGAGCGACTTTTGTCTGCAAATTTGTGTGAATTGCTGCCATCCAGCGATTTTGAGTGGTTACAAAAATGTATTGTCTAAAATTTTTTATTTAAGAGCTCAGTTAGATGAATTATTTATTTGGTCACTTCAAATTTGGATTTTAAAATTACTTTGTCCCAATTTTGAAATATTGAGTTCAGCTTGTGAACGATTGTCAGTTACTGATCAAATTAAAAAAAAAATAAAAGAGGCGTTGAAATTAGATTTTAACAATTATGATTTATCTCTTCCTAAAGTATTGAGAAAAGCTAGTAACTTTATAGTCGTTTGCGATGCAATTGCTAATAACTGTTTAACCGTATCGGGCTCAGTGTATTCACTACCACCTGAAGTTTTTACGAACTTACTAGTGGAAATATGCTTAAGTAATTCTCTAGATGAGCAGAATGATTTCAACAGTTTTGGAAATTATAACATATTATATTACCTAGCTCACATTATCGAAACTCAGAACGTAACGTATAGAAAAATTATAATAGACTCATCAGATAATGATAAAAATAACACTAATTATTCGAATCGATGTAAAAAGAAGCTTAACGAAAAAGAGAAAAAATATCTCTTAAAATTGGTTTTTCATATAAACGGTCATTTCAAAAATTCTCCGTTTTATCAAGTGATAGCTGCGAAAAATCAACTTAATAATTTAATTATAAAACGTTTATGTCATACTAATGAAATCGACGCTATTGAACCAGATCTTGGTAATTGGAAATCTGATCAAAGAAACATATATCAGATTGAAAAATACAATGATATAACTCCACCATGTCCTAGTTTGTATTGTTATAAAATGAATTCGTACAAATCAATTGAATTTTCTAGTTTGTTGACGGAATCAACTGATATAATCAGTTTACTTGATGTCAATTCAGATTTATTTAATGTTTCCCTTTATTGCAAAGGGTTTTCAAAGATTAATGGTGATTTAATAATTAATTATATGAGCAAACGCGTTATTCCAGATCAGTTGAACGAATTTGAACAGTTATACATCAAAAAAATGCTGGAGTCGATTTCAATAGCTACAACTTCAATGGATTCAATGGTTCACTTCAAGATTGCAACTTTAGTGATAGGAAACTTATTTAATTTTACTGATGCTTTATCTCATTTAGATAAATTGAACCAATCTATAAGGTTATTGAATTATTTAACGAACCAACTAGACGTCAAACAGCCAATTAGCAAACTGCAATTTTACGCAATCCTATCTAGGGGTATAATAAATATGCTTAACAAAGAATACTTTGATATAAAAACATTTTCTTCTCTAATTACAAGCGACTCAATCGTTAATCTATTTTTTGACTCGTTACAGTTAATTTCAAGCAAGGTTGCTACTCTAATTCTTGAGTTGAAAAATCAGAGATTATTCTTACAATCACATTTATTATCTATTATCGCAGACGTGATTTCTATATTGGTTACTTATCAAAATCATCATTGTTACAGCACACTTAGCAGCTCAATTAAACTTAAATTCAATCCAGTGCTTGAACTTATTAGATTGTTTGGGCTCGATTCCGAGATAAGCAAACACTACTTTTGCAGATGTATGAAGTCTACAAACCAAGCACAAGTTAATTTATTAAATCTTTGTACGAGATTGTATACATCCAAAATAATAATGCCACTTTGTCTGAACGAACAAAAGAAAAATCAAGAAAAAAATATCAAACTTTTTGTTTCTAGGGTTTTACTATTCAACAGTAATCTATTAACAAGCGTTTTGCTTGAAACTATCAAAGAGTCTAGTTTTCACAACCCTTTTTTAATGGACTATCAAAAATTTATTAAGAAAACTTCGTTAATGTTTCTTTCAAAACGACACGATATTCAATATCAGTTCACGTTGGTTTGTTTGCTAAGATTCTTTCAAATTTCGATACCTCTCAATTACAACAGTCCTATTTACAAATCCAGCTCGAATTTTTATCACTGCGACTCTGTTGCGTCTATGTTTTCTCAGCTTTCTTCAAACCAAAAACCTAAATCATTAATTTCTGTTTTAGTTTATTATTGGAATACATTATGTCCAAATCTACACATGCCAAGAATAACAACTTTACTTGCTTTACTTACAAATGCGGTCAAGCTTCCATTTAAATCTTTATTGCTTGAAAATTTGCCGAAAGGAGAATCTTTAGTGGATACTAATTATTCTATTCTAAGGATGTTGAAGTTGAAGAATTTCAACAATCTTGCAAAAAAGTTGACAGTTACTAAAAAGGATTCTAATAACTACACCATTTTATATCAAGTATTGCTGAACATTATAAAAACTGCATTATTTGAATGGTTCAATCAGACAGACAGCTACAAATACTTTTCTTATATTGATTTGACACTAGAAATATTCCCCTTGATAAATATTTTAATTTACAAATCTACTTTGCATTACTGTAGTTACTTGCAGACAAAACTGCTTATAATAGTGATTCCGTATTACATAATGCTAATGCATCACTATTCAAGTTTGATTCGTCACCGAGTTTGTAAAATGGTTTTGTCATTAGTTACTTCTCTTGGATATTGCAAAAATTCAACTGTTGAAG